CGGGGAGAGAGAGAGAGAACCGGAGGGTCGTTCGGAAGTGGGGGGGGAAATATTTTTGGGGGCGGGGGTCGCTCACCCGCTCACGGCCCCGGACTCACGCACGCGCGCTCACGCCCTGCTCCGGGAAGCCTCCCTCCGGCCTGCCGGGCCATGTGCGAAAGAGCGAGAGCCTCGCGAGACCGGGCGGAACCAACGCGCCGTTCCGCTCTCTCAGAGAAAGGGGGGGGGAAGAACCTAGGGAGGTCCGCCCCCTCACATGATCCTCCCGCATAGAGACACGGAAAGGATTTATATCCCGGAGATACACATTTTTAAAGAGCTTTTCTCTCCCTGGGGCACTTGCTACGATAACTCAGTGTTTTTGTTCAAATTGCGTCTACCCCCCTCCCCGTACTGGATCTCTCGCTGTGGTTCAGCCCAACATGGCGGCCTTGGGCCGGACTTAAGAGACCTCCCTTCGGTGGGGGGGGAGGCTCTGGGAGGGACTTTTCCTTTGTTGGCGCGACTAACGTTCGGGATAATACGTTTCCTGATGGTTGGTTTTCATTTTTGGTCCGCTTTAAGGCTAAAACAGGGAGGTGACCGTGAGCAGAAGCGTGATGACGGCCCGAGGGCGGGATAACTGGCGCCCCCTTCAAAGGGGCGAAAAAATGGAATCGTCTGGTAATTCGACGTGCTGAGAGCGTGGGTTGTACCAACTGTATCGAACGGGGGGGAGCGCTGAGGAATGCCGCACGGATATAGGCGGAAGAGAAGGAAGACAGAAAACCGAGATGTGCCATTAGGTTTTTAAAATAAAGTTAAACTGAAGGGGTTCACTTTGTTGCTTTTTAAAGTCATTCTGTTTATTTCACGATTATCAAGTGGTATGGCCCGATGAACCCGGCCACATCAGCTTTAGGCTGGTCACGTGGTTTGGTAGCTGTGTAACGAGTACCTTTGGGCACTGAAAGGAAAGTGGATGCTTGAGCAAGGAGCTAGTCCCTATTATATTAGCAGATTTAAACTGTTCGCAACTATACGCTTAACTAAGTCTCAAAAGATTCCCTGAAGCTTGCTTCTGAACAAACATACGCCAGATTGTATTTTCATCCTATTTATTGATTGCAACTGTACGCTTAACTAAGTCTCAAAAGACTCCCTGAAGCTTGCTGCTGAACAAACATACGCCAGATTGTATTATCATCCCATTTATTGATCCAATTATCCATAATTCCATTTACAGTGTCCATGAAAGCTCACATTGAAATATAGCAATTAGTTTTTAAAGTGCCACCACGTTTTTTAATTTTTTTAAAAAATATATTCCTTTGTTTTTATTATATTTATTTTGGTTTTTGCGTATAATTCCCTTTGCCTCCCTCGATCTGGGATAGAAGTAACTTGATGGGGGAAAGTTTTATCGTGCAACCGGGAATACGGCCACTTAGAAGGAACTCACCTTAAATTTCAGGTGGCCTTTCAGGCTGCCATTGTAGCTGCTTAAATCGTGATGGCGACTTCCCTGTTTTGGATTTTGTGGTAGAAATGCATTTATATGGAATATTTTTATTTCTGCGATGTGGAATCATATACTTAAGAAAGCTTCTTAATGATAATTTTTAGCAGCGGCAGCAGTTTCATTTGGCCAGGCATTTTCACATGTTTTCAAGCTGATTTTTTGACTCTTGGTAGAAGGGATGGCCGGGATCACCTAGTCCAACCCTCTGTCCATTCAGGAAATTCACAGCTAAAGCATCTCTGACTGATGGTCTTCTGTATTCTGTCTGAACTGCCTTCACTGAAGGATAGTCTACCATTTTCTCAGGTGGTCCATTCCACTGCTAAGCCTTTCTGTCAAAAAGTTCTTCCTGATGTTTGGTCAAAATCTCTTGTATTTTAACTTTAACTTGCTGGTTGGCTTTACCCTTTCAAGCTTGCAGCCTTTCAAATATTTGAAAAAGGCAAAGCAAATTCCACTTTATATGGAAATATGGCTTGATTGTGTATTGTTGCGATAGAGATACATGTGTTTCCAAAGTTTTGGTACAAGTAATATAATTAGTAGGTATAACAAGTCACATTTGATAGTTACTTCCAAAAACTAATTTTAAAGAATGTTTTCAGGCATTCTGAAGAGGGATTTTACAGGAACTTTTCAGGTTTTATGCCATTCTTTTATCGGTGCTAAGTGGCAAGGTATTTTTTGACGTCTGTTCTTTTTGGAAATATTTCCAGGGTGCTATAACAGAAGTAGCCACTAGACAGAACCAGAGACCATTTGCTTGTTCAAGTCTGCCAGCAAAGCAGATGTGTTGATCAAATGTATTGCAAAAACTTACTTGGATGATCAGAGCTATGCTGAGACTTAGTGAGCAGTGCAGTCAGTGGGTTCCTTTTTAAAAAATAAAACTGCTCAGACAAAATTCCAAATGCACAGGTACTTAATATTGTAATGTTGTTATGTGTCAACAAGTAACTTCCAATTTATGGCAATCCTCATGAGTTTTTTGAGCTGTGTGAGAAATTAAAAGTATGGGTATACCATAGCTAAGTGGTGATTTCAACCCAGCTCTTCTGAGCCCTAGTTATGAACTCTGTTTCCTACATTATCCCAGTGCTTTATTATTATACGTTACTGGGGAGAACATTTTGCAAGAATTTGCAACCTTTTCAGTTCTCCAGTTGCCCGCCTGACAAAAATGTTTCAGCAATGCCTCTGTGTCTTTTAGGATAAAAGCCCCAAAATGTTGGCCTGATGTTGAAGCCATGAGATCTGCATCGAGACTGATTGAAGATCTGAACTCAGAACCTCAGTCCTGCACCGCTGCTGTAACCATTATACTATACTTTGCCACAGTGTTTTAATTTAAGCTGATTTTTTTATTGAGAGCACAAACATCGCACAAAGTGATAATTTTTTTTGCACCTTTGTGAGCAAAATATTCATCCATTTAAATTTGCATTTTGTATTTGTTCTGCACATCTATGTATAAATATTTTGGGCCAGGGCTGAATTAAAAAAAAAAATCAAAACAGTGTATGGCAAATATTAGTTTTAAAGGTCGCCAGCAAATGTGATACAGTAATCTGTTGGGAGCCAAACCAAACCAATATTAAAATGCATAAGTGTCAGGATAAATATGAATGTAGTTGAAACACTTCAGAACAGAAATACCAAACATGTTCTCTATGGAATCAGTTAAAATTACAAACACAGTATGATGTGGAACTTTATACCACCCAGCCTGGTGATTAAATTAGATTTGAACAGCATGATATGAAACCTGTTTGAAAATTGCCGTCTGCCACTCGGAAGCTTTCCTCTGTAGTATCCGTCAGCGTGATCCTGTAAGTCATATGCTGTTCACATGGACCTCATTATGATATAATTTTGTCTTGGCCTTTGAAGAGTGTTGAATAATTTGTTCCCGCAATGTTCATCTCGGACAGGTTTTATATAGGATTATTATTATAGCAAACCTCCGCTCCCTGCTTTTTAAGCCTCTGGACAAGCTTTATATTAACAAGAAGTTCTCTTCAAGCTTCTTATTTAAAAGGAACTGGAGTTTAAAGTTCAATACGAGTGCAGTCTACGTACTTCGTATCTTTGTATGCCAGCACAATAGGTATTATATCACGAAGAGTTTTGTAGCATTATTTATTTACTATTTTATTTAAAATTATTTCCCCTTTCTCCCTTGAAAAAGGGACCCATCTTTTAGTGAAATGTTTTTGGCCGAAGCCAGAGGTCACTCATTTTGTCTTCTTGATCTCTTGGGGAAGCCACTTAGACAAACTTGACAAGTTGATTAATTTATGTTCTTGTATAGAGAAGGTTTGTATATTCTTGATCAACCATGTATAGGTGTGAAAGCTGGATGGTAAAGAAAGCTAACAGGGGGAAAAAATCAATTTATTTGAAATGTGGTGCTAGAAAAGAGCTTTGCAGATACCCTGGAGTGCTCGAAAGACAAACGAACGGGTCCTAGATCAAATCAAGCCTGAGCTATATCTCTGGAGGCAAAAATGTTGAACCTGGGGCTGTCATGTTTCGGGTGCATCATGCGAGGGCAGGATTCTCTGGGAAACATGGAGGGCAGCAGGAATAGAGGAAGAGTAACGCAAGATGGATCGACTCCCTAAAGGAAACCACAGGGTTGGATTTACAAGAGCTGAGGAGAGCCGTTGAGGAAAGGCCATGTATTTAATATTTTATTTATTTATGTGCCCCGCCTCTCTCTCTATAGGGGGGACCCGCTGGCGATCTCTCATTCCTGGGGTTGCCATAACTTGGAAGTGACTTGACCTGCAACCGTAGAGGTGGGGGGGACCCCAACTTTGAAGCCCCAGGATGTTCTGCTTTCAGGGCCCTGCCTGGCCAGACTCCCCAGAGCACAGCACTCATCCCTCCCTCCTAGAAATGGGGTGAACGTGGCATTTCCCTCCCCCCCCAAAAAACCACGGTGTCCTGTATTTCTGCCAGTCAGCCCCGGCTGCCATGCCACCGGCTCGGGCCTTCCAGAAGCGCCATGAAGAGCCATTCGCTTTGCACAAGACCCGCTCCTCCTCCACCCGGCGCGGCTTCACGTCGGGCCTCTTCCCAAGACAGCGGGGAGAAGCCCGGGGGGGGGTTGGGGGGTTGGAGGGTCCGGCTGGGTGGTGGTGGTTGGGTCCCCCCCCAAAAAACGCGCAGAGAGTTCTGGGAGCTGTAGTCCAAAAGCAAACGGC